GCGCACCAGCTCTTGCAATGACATAAGGGGTTGGCGGCTTGTACTGCGCCTCGTGAGGCGTGTGATATACCCGAAGATGTGGAGCCCGTCCAAACCTGCGACCCAAGGTGGAGGCTGGTGAGGGGACGGCATGGTGTGATGGGATGAACAACTTCGACGGCGAAAGACCTCTCCTCGTCCTGGGAATGGCCTCGTCGTGTGCTACAACTGCTGCCTGCCGGGACATGTCGCATCGGGCTGCCGCGTGCCCCGATGACGCCTCCCTGGACCACCTCCATCGTCCGCCTGAACCGTCCTCCACTATACCCGAAGGTGCCGTGCGTTTAACGTCCCCCAAGCCGCCACCTGTGCCGTCTCCACAAGATTCGGGAGAGGAAGACCCGTTTGCCCGGCCAGCTGCTCTTTCTGAGGAGCCGGGTTCAACGGGACATTTTCAAATTCCCCCCAAACCCCCAGGGAGAGTACGCCCACCTCCCCTGGGAGCCCTGCCACAAGGACTCGATCAAAGACTCTTCAGTTTTCGTGATCCCCATACACACACTCCCACACCGTCAGTTGGTTGTCGCACTCGGCAGGCCGTATTGGTTATTTGCTAAACCTGGCCTTTATTGTGCTTGCGGGTGTTGTTGCACGGTGAGGGTGGGAGATGCTGGTGCTGGAGGGGTTCCCGAGGTTTTGCGTGTTACTGCGATTTGTTTTTCTCTCTCTCTTCCTTTGTTTTGCCTATTGTTCTGTAATTTTGTCCCCTTTCCCCATTAGTTGCTGTATATTTGGTTATAGTGTACATATTGTATAGATGGGTTGGGGTATTTATTTGTTGAGGCACACAAGGGGTTGCTCGTTTTATTTGTTTGTTGAAGGGAGAGTTGACAGCCGGGATGCCTGAGTGCTACAAGGAGGGGTGGGGGGGGGGTGTAGTGACATCACAAGACATCACTGTGTAGTGCCGGCCCTAGAGAGGCACGGTGTGTAGTGTACCACTATCGCAGGGGTGTCCAATCTATGGCCCACGGGCCAACTGCGGCCCGCGGTCCAGTTTTTATTGGCCCGCAGCAAATTCTGAAAATATAATTGAATATGGCCCGCACAAGAAACTTGAGCTCAATTCTGTTGCACTTCTCAGTTTCAACACTAGATGGAGCCAGCCACGGAAAACCGTGCTTCTCCACTAAACAAAATTAAGCCAAGAAAAACTTTTACCGCGAGTCACCAGAAATGGCAGCACCGAAGAAACGCAAAATAGCAAGTGAGTGTAGAAGATTTCAAACACGGTGGGAAAATGGATATTTTTTCAAAGAAATCAACGGAAAGTGTGTCTGTTTGATTTGCAATGAAGATGTTGCTGTGATGAAAGAGTATAATGTCCGTCTGCACTATGAGACCAAACATCAGAGCTACACATCGTACACCGGTGCCGAACGAACACAGAAAGTCAAGCAAATGGCGGCTAGCCTGCAAGCTCAACAACAATTTTTTTTCGTGCTAACAAAATACAGGAAAACGCCACAACAGCAAGCTATGAAGTCACTAAACTAATTGCCCAGCACGGCAAACCGTTCTCAGAAGGTGATTTCATAAAGCAGTGCCTCATCAAAGTCACAGAAATAATGTGCCCGGAAAAAGTGCAGGATTTCAACAGCGTGAGCTTATCCAGAAATACAGTGGTGCGGAGAATCGAGGACTTGTCAGCTAACTTGAAACTTCAGCTGAGAGACAAAGCTTGTGCTTTTGATTTTTACTCGATAGCATGCGACGAGGGCACAGATGCCACAGACACCGCGCAGCTGTTAATTTTTTTGCGGGGAGTAGATGATAATTTTTGCTGTATGGAGGAACTGCTTGATATGATGAGCCTAAAAGGCACAACGACGGGTAGAGATATTTTTGAAGCTGTGTCAGAGGCAGTTGAAAAGATGGGGCTTAAATGGGACAAGCTCTGTGGAGTAACAACGGATGGAGCTCCGGCCATGACGGACGAGCGCAAAGGAATGGCATCGATGGTGTGCGCCAAGGTAAAAGAGAGCGGAGGTGAGGCTGTTAGGATGCACTGTATAATCCACCAAGAAGCACTGTGTGCCAAGACTGTCCAGCTGGGCGATGTGATGAACACTGTTGTAAAAACTGTCAACATAATTCGAGCTAGAGGACTGTACCACAGAGAATTTTAAGCTTTCCTATCTGATGTGGATGCTGAATACGGGGATGTACTCTACCACTCTGATGTGCGTTGGCTCAGCCGCGGCTCTGTGCTGCAGCGGTTTTATTCGCTGAGATCAGAAATCGACCAGTTTTTTAAAGAGAAGGGCCGACCTCTTCATGAACTGAGTGACCCTCTGTGGCTGGCAGACCTGGCATTTTAAGTTGATCTTACTCATCATCTGAATACACTGAACAAGAACCTACAAGGCAAAGAAGAGCTGGTGCCACACCTGTATGCGCACATGAAAGCCTTCTGTGTAAAGCTCCGCCTGTTTGAGACACAACTACGAAGCTTTAATGCTGCACACTTCCCTGCGCTGTCTGAAAGCAAGTCTGCTTTTCCAAAGGCCGACCTGCTAAAAAGGAGAAATATGTGTCTGTGATTGTATCTCTCGTGACAGAATTCAACCAGCGTTTCCAAGATTTTTCTGTCATTGAAAAACAAATCAAGCTGTTCTCGACCCCCTTCCTGGTGGATGCAGAAGAAGTGGAAGAGAGTCTGCAGTTAGAACTGATTGAAATGAAATGTGATGATTATCTGAAGAGTCAACATCAGCTTCTCTCCCTCCCTGACTTCTATCAGAGTTTGGATAATGCCAAGTTTCCTCTGATGAGACGCCACGCAAAAAGAATGATGAGCCTGTTCGGCTCAACATACATATGTGAACAAACATTTTCTCTGTTAAATCAGAAAAAAAGCAGACTGAGAACCAGAATGACTGATAGCCATCTCTGTGAAGTCCTTCGTGTCTCAACCACCAAACTTTCTCCTGACATGTCAGCCATCCTTCGATCCAAAGGACAGCATCACTGCTCCCACTGAGTGCAATGTTCTTCACATTATAGGCGAGTTAGAAATACACACAGTATTCATGTGTCAATATGTCACCTCTAGTGTGTGGCCCGGCCTTTTGTTTATTTTTCTGTATTTGGCCCTCACTAAAAAAACATTGGACACCCCTACACTATGGTGTGGGTGTAGTACCGGCCCTAGAGGAGCTCAGTGAGTGCTGAATGATATCGCTGGATGGCACCACGCTTAGCGTGCAGTGCCGGCCCTACAGGATAGGGTGTGGGAGTGCCAGCCGTAGGAATGAGGTTGCTCAAGGCCATGGCACTCTGGTTGCCCTGAGAGGACACATGACCATTTAAGTCTTCAAAAGGGCCCCAGGTGGGGGCTCGGGGTGGTCACGTGGTCGGGGTCCAGATCCTGCTCGAGGATTCTGGAAGGTGGTCGTTGCCAAGGGCGGAGCCAGCCACGCCGCAGAGAATATAAGCCGGGTCCCCCAGAGGGACCGGCGTTGTTGTTCATCCTGAAGAAACCTTCGTCTACATTCTACCGAGTCTCCAACACATGGACCTGGACCCGAGCTGTGGTCCGGTCCATAGTAGTTAGTTACGTTGTAATTAGTGTAGTTAGCCTGGTGGTATTCTGTTAAGGGGCAGTTACCCTGTGTTGGTGTTAAATAAATGTGTTGCCTCCAAGAGTACGTCTGCGACTCAGTTGAACTCACTACACATGTGTCGTGAGTCCAACTGAGTCGCAGAAATTGTCTTGGGAGCAACACTATTACATCAACTCAACAAAACATAATGTAACCTACACTTGGGTGTTGAATGCCCATCTAACCACGCTACGGTAAAACTAGACACGGTCCCGCTATCCCGGACCGGACCACGAGCTGGGTCCCGGACCGCGTGGCTAGAGGCTTCTTCAACCCGACGTGGATCTTCACTCACCAACAATCCAGAACCCCGAGCCCCACGTTATATCGGCCCGGGCTGGAACTGGCTCCGCCTCTCACCCCGCCCACCTCGATCTCTCTGGCCCTTTCTCGCGTGACCACCCAGCGGCCCCCGTGCACCAGAGGCCCCCCTCCAATATCATCTGGTCATGTGTTGGCAGGTCAACCAGCGTATCATGCCCCAATGTAACCCTGGCTGGCTGACACTCTTGCTTATCAGCATATGATTTCAGCATACTGATGCAATAAGAACTTTAAATCTTTTATTTTGATTTAAAGCTTTCGTGCCTGCAGGGATTCATATTCTTGGTTCTTTCGGGAAAGTCACGTGACTTTACCGAAAGAACCAAGAATATAACTTGAAATCTATTGGGATGTTCCTGTAACTTAATTTGAATCTGAATCTTAAAAAAGCAAATTCACTTTCTGGAATTTTTATTTATAGAATAATTGTGTTTTTGCACTATTTTTATTTCTTAAGTAACGCGGTTGCTTTAGATCTAATTCGTATCTGGTTGTCTCTCCACGGATTTTCTTTTCTTTTTAATTGCTGTACTTTATTTTACGTTATTGCTTTTGTCACGATGGCAACACAGGTCACTCGAGCAAATGAGACTATTCCTGTCTCTGGCGTTCTCACCCAAAAACACAAAACAAATTAAACTTTAAACTTACTCGGAACGCCTTAAAGCGTTTCACAACACAGTAATCACCAAACAAGGTGATAAGCAATATCAAAAGTGTACACGCACAATTTAGCCGCTGTATAAACCCGCGCTATTACGCAATTGTGGTGGTTGTTTTCGCGGTCGTGGTGGCAGAACGGTATCGATGATTTTGGTCGTGGTGTTTGTGGGTATGGTGGACATGGTGGTGTTGAATGAAGGAGGGCGTGGATCTGATGATAGCGATCATGACTGTAGTGGTGGTAGTGGAGCTGGTGATAGCGGTGATGATGGTGGTTGTGGGTGATACTGGTGATAACTGGGGTGGTGGTAGTGTCAATGTGAGACCCCGTTGTTGAGTTTGAGACCCAAACCGAAGTTGATCACTCACCAGCCGAGGGCGGAGGGCCCCGCGATGAGCGCGTGGGCCATGGACACGCGCAGGTTCTGCCAGCGCCACAGCCGTGTCGCGTCCCCGCGGAGTACCGCGGGCGGAGGCGCCACGGGACCCAGAGCCGGGCCCAACGCGCGGAATGCGACCGCCGACAGCAGCGAGAGGAGCGCGGGGCCCATGGCGGCAACGTGCATGGGGTGAGACGAGACACCAGGAGGGGAGGACGAGACACCAGGATAGGTGGGGGGAGACGGGGAGCGGGAGGACACGGGGGAGGGGGAGAACACGGAAAAGACTGGGTAGACAGCAGCTATCGCGCTGGCCAGGCGAAGGGGCTCTGAGGGCACGGACTTTACTACTCAAGGGAGGGAGGCGGTAGCAGCAGCCGCGGTTGCGCAAGGCGACGAGTGGGATAGTGGCGCGCGCAGCGCGGCGGGAGATTGGGAAGGAATCTCACCCGACCGGGTCCCGCAGGGGAGGGGCCACACCTTGGGGGGAGGGTGGCACACCTTGCGGGTGGGGTGTGTGGACATTACCTCGGAGAATTATAACTCAGAAAGAAGCGCGCGCCTCGCAGGGCGAGAGGGAGGCTCCACATTCACAGGGCATCATCTCCACTCGGATATTCCTCAATCCATTATAAGGACTGAGTCTTTTAGACTGTTTCGTCTCTTATTGATATTTGTTCAACAACCACACTGCATACTCTTTGGTGCTTTCGGTAAAGTCACGTAGGTAGAACAATAGATCACGACGTTTTGATCGCAACAATAAGCGACCGCAATATAATGCCTCGTCCACAGCAGTCTGCACCTGAAGACGGTCGCTTGTTGTTGCGATCGAAACGTCGTGATCTGTTTTTTTTTTCTACCGACGTGACTTTACCAAAAGAACCAAAGAGTATGGATCCCTGCAGTCACGAAAGCTTCACATCAAGATTGAACCACACTGCAGGTCACGAAGACAAAGATCCCCCGTAGCGTCTTCACATACTGTTGGAGCAAGTGCTGTTGCAGGTTACAACACACTCGGCCACCCTTTCACTCACTCATCCACTCTTTCACGTATTAACACTCTCAGCCACTCACTCACGGACCCAATCACCCACCTACTCACACGCTCACTCACACAATCACCTACTCAATCACCCATCCACTAATGAAAACACTCACCCAAGCGCCAATTCCCTCATTGCGTAACCCTCATACCCTCATGTTGTTATTACCTGCAGTGTGGTGAGTGAGTGTTGTTGTAACCTGTGGTGTGGTGAGTGAGTAGGTGAGTGTTGTTGTGACCTGCAGTGTGGTGAGTGAGTGGGTGAGTGTTGTTGTGACCTGTAGTGTGGTGAGTGAGTGGGTGAGTGTTGTTGTGACCTGCAGTGTGGTGAGTGAGTGGGTGAGTGTTGTTGTAACCTGTAGTGTGGTGAGTGAGTGGGTGAGTGTTGTTGTAACCTGTAGTGTGGTGAGTGAGTGGGTGAGTGTTGTTGTAACCTGCAGTGTGGTGAGTGGGTGAGTGTTGTTGTGACCTGTAGTGTGGTGAGTGAGTGGGTGAGTGTTGTTGTGACCTGAAGTGTGGTGAGTGAGTGGGTGAGTGTTGTTGTAACCTGTAGTGTGGTGAGTGAGTGGGTGAGTGTTGTTGTAACCTGTAGTGTGGTGAGTGAGTGGGTGAGTGTTGTTGTGACCTGCAGTGCGGTGAGTGAGTGAGTGTTTTTGTAACCTGTAGTGTGGAGAGTGAGTGGATGAGTGTTGTTGTAACCTGTAGTGTGGTGAGTGGGTGAGTGTTGTTGTAACCTGCAGTGTGGTGAGTAGGTGAGTGTTGTTGTAACCTGTAGTGTGGTGAGTGAGTGGGTGAGTGTTGTAACCTGTAGTGTGGTGAGTGAGTGGGTGAGTGTTGTTGTAACCTGCAGTGTGGTGAGTGAGTGGGTGAGTGTTGTAACCTGCAGTGTGGTGAGTGAGTGGGTTAGTGTTGTTGTAACCTGTAGTGTGGTGAGTGGGTGAGTGTTGTTGTAACCTGTAGTGTGGTGAGTGAGTGGGTGAGTGTTGTTGTAACCTGCAGTGTGGTGAGTGAGTGGGTGAGTGTTGTTGTAACCTGCAGTGTGGTGAGTGAGTGGGTGAGTGTTGTTGTGACCTGCAATGTGGTGAGTGGGTGAGTGTTGTTGTAACCTGCAGTGTGGTGAGTGAGTTGGTGAGTGTTGTTGTGACTTGCAGTGTGGTGAGTGAGTGGGTGAGTGTTGTTGTGACCTGCAATGTGGTGAGTGAGTGGGTGAGTGTTGTTGTAACCTGTAGTGTGGTGAGTGAGTGGGTGAGTGTTGTTGTAACCTGTAGTGTGGTGAGTGAGTGGGTGAGTGTTGTTGTAACCTGTAGTGTGGTGAGTGAGTGAGTGGGTGAGTGTTGTTGTAACCTGTAGTGTGGTGAGTGAGTGGGTGAGTGTTGTTGTGACCTGCAGTGTGGTGAGTGAGTGGGTGAGTGTTGTTGTGACCTGCAGTGTGGTGAGTGAGTGGGTGAGTGTTGTTGTGACCTGCAGTGCGGTGAGTGAGTGGGTGAGTGTTGTTGTAACCTGCAGTGTGGTGAGTGAGTGGGTGAGTGTTGTTGTAACCTGCAGTGTGGTGAGTGAGTGGGTGAGTGTTGTTGTGACCTGCAATGTGGCGAGTGAGTGGGTGAGTGTTGTAACCTGCAGTGTGGTGAGTGAGTGGGTGAGTGTTGTTGTGACCTGCAGTGTGGTGAGTGAGTGGGTGAGTGTTGTTGTGACCTGAAGTGTGGTGAGTGAGTGGGTGAGTGTTGTTGTAACCTGTAGTGTGGTGAGTGAGTGGGTGAGTGTTGTTGTAACCTGTAGTGTGGTGAGTGAGTGGGTGAGTGTTGTTGTGACCTGCAGTGCGGTGAGTGAGTGAGTGTTTTTGTAACCTGTAGTGTGGAGAGTGAGTGGATGAGTGTTGTTGTAACCTGTAGTGTGGTGAGTGGGTGAGTGTTGTTGTAACCTGCAGTGTGGTGAGTAGGTGAGTGTTGTTGTAACCTGTAGTGTGGTGAGTGAGTGGGTGAGTGTTGTAACCTGTAGTGTGGTGAGTGAGTGGGTGAGTGTTGTTGTAACCTGCAGTGTGGTGAGTGAGTGGGTGAGTGTTGTAACCTGCAGTGTGGTGAGTGAGTGGGTTAGTGTTGTTGTAACCTGTAGTGTGGTGAGTGGGTGAGTGTTGTTGTAACCTGTAGTGTGGTGAGTGAGTGGGTGAGTGTTGTTGTAACCTGCAGTGTGGTGAGTGAGTGGGTGAGTGTTGTTGTAACCTGCAGTGTGGTGAGTGAGTGGGTGAGTGTTGTTGTGACCTGCAATGTGGTGAGTGGGTGAGTGTTGTTGTAACCTGCAGTGTGGTGAGTGAGTTGGTGAGTGTTGTTGTGACTTGCAGTGTGGTGAGTGAGTGGGTGAGTGTTGTTGTGACCTGCAATGTGGTGAGTGAGTGGGTGAGTGTTGTTGTAACCTGTAGTGTGGTGAGTGAGTGGGTGAGTGTTGTTGTAACCTGTAGTGTGGTGAGTGAGTGGGTGAGTGTTGTTGTGACCTGCAGTGTGGTGAGTGAGTGGGTGAGTGTTGTTGTGACCTGCAGTGCGGTGAGTGAGTGGGTGAGTGTTGTTGTAACCTGCAGTGTGGTGAGTGAGTGGGTGAGTGTTGTTGTAACCTGCAGTGTGGTGAGTGAGTGGGTGAGTGTTGTTGTGACCTGCAATGTGGCGAGTGAGTGGGTGAGTGTTGTAACCTGCAGTGTGGTGAGTGAGTGGGTGAGTGTTGTTGTGACCTGCAGTGTGGTGAGTGAGTGGGTGAGTGTTGTTGTAACCTGTAGTGTGGTGAGTGAGTGGGTGAGTGTTGTAACCTGCAGTGTGGTGAATGAGTGGGCGAGTGTTGTAACCTGCAGTGTGGTGAGTGAGTGGGTGAGTGTTGTTGTGACCTGCAGTGTGGTGAGTGAGTGGGTGAGTGTTGTTGTAACCTGCAGTGCGGTGAGTGAGTGGGTGAGTGTTGTTGTAACCTGCAATGTGGTGAGTGAGTGGGTGAGTGTTGTAACCTGCAGTGCGGTGAGTGAGTGGGTGAGTGTTGTTGTAACCTGCAATGTGGTGAGTGGGTGAGTGTTGTGACCTGCAGTGTGGTGAGTGAGTGGGTGAGTGTTGTAACCTGCAGTGCGGTGAGTGGGTGAGTGTTGTGACCTGCATTGTGGTGAGTGAGTGGGTGAGTGTTGTTGTGACCTGCAGTGTAGTGAGTGTTGTTGTAACCTGCAGTGTGGTGAGTGAGTGGGTGAGTGTTGTTGTGACCTGCAGTGCGGTGAGTGAGTGGGTGAGTGTTGTTGTAACCTGTAGTGTGGTGAGTGAGTAGGTGAATGTTGTTGTGACCTGCAGTGTGGTGAGTGAGTGAGTGTGTTGTAACCTGCAGTGTGGTGAGTGAGTGGGTGAGTGTTGTTGTGACCTGCAGTGTGGTGAGTGAGTGGGTGAGTGTTGTTGTGGCCTGCAGTGTGGTCAGTGGGTGGGTGAGTGTTGTTGTAACCTGCAGTGTGGTGAGTGAGTTGTAACCTGCGGTGAGTGAGTGGGTGAGTGTTGTAACCTGCAGTGTGGTGAGTGAGTGGGTGGGTGAGTGTTGTAGTAACCTGCAGTTTAGTGAGCGGGTGAGTGTTGTAACCTGCAATGTGGTGAGTGGGTGGGTGAGTGTTGTTACCTGCAATGTGGTGAGTGGGTGAGTGTTGTTGTGACTTACAGTGCGGTGACTGAGTGGGAGAGTGTTGTTGTGACCTGCAATGTGGTGAGTGGGTGGGTGAGTGTTGTAACCTGCAGTGTGGTGAGTGAGTGGGTGAGTGTTGTTGTAACCTGCAGTGTGGTGAGTGGGTGAGTGTTGTAACCACAGTGCGGTGAGTGAGTGGGTGAGTGTTGTAATCTGCAGTGTGGTGAGTGAGTGGGTGGGTGAGTGTTGTTGTGACCTGCAGTGGGGTGAGTGGGTGGGTGAGTGTTGTTGTGACCTGCAATGTGGTGAGTGAGTGGGTGTGTGTTGTTGTAACTTGCAGTGCGGTGAGTGAGTGGGTGAGTGTTGCTGTAACCTGCAGTGTGGTGAGTGAGTGGGTGGGTGTTTTTGTAACCTGCAGTGCGGTGAGTGAGTGGGTGAGTGTTGTTGTGACCTGCAATGTGGTGAGTGAGTGGGTGAGTGTTGTTGTGACCTGCTGTGTGGTGGGTGAGTGGGTGAGTGTTGTTATGACCTGCAGTGTGGTGAGTGAGTAGGTGAGTGTTGTTGTGACCTGCAGTGTGGTGAGTGAGTGGGTGAGTGTTGTTGTAACCTGTAGTGTGGTGAGTGAGTGGGTGAGTGTTGCTGTAACCTGCAGTGCGGTGAGTGTGTGACTTGTTGTAACCTGCAGTGCGGTGAGTGGGTGAGTGTTGTAATCTGCAGTGCGGTGAGTTAGCTGGTGAGTGTTGTAACCTGCAGTGGGTTTGTAGTGAGTCCATCTGAGTCGCAGACGTCTTGGCAGCAAGACTTTATTTCACCAACTCAACATAACATAACACAACCTGCACTTTGGTGTTGAATGCCCATCTAGCCACGCTACGGCAGAACTAGACACGGCTCGCTATCCCGGACCACAAGCTGGGTCCCGGACTGCGTGGCTAGAGGATTTTTTTACCTGACGTGGATCTTCTTCACCAGCAACACGAAGAGCCCCGAGCCCCTCACGGGGCCCCTGTTATATCGGCCTGGGCTGGGGCTGGCTCCGCCCCTCGCCCCGCCCACCTTCTCGATTGATTGTCAGGTATTCCTCCGGTTCTGGAACGCGAACTTGAAGCTCAAGCCGTCGAAGTGCCACCTTATGCAGTC